TAAAAAAAAATAACATACATGCCATACTTGCCTGCTCTGTACAATGGTTTTGCACAGAGCAACCACAATCTTCTTCTTCTTGGGTCCTCCGTTGGCGCTCCTGGCTCCACCCTCCTTCTGAGTGCCCCCATAGTAAGAGGCTTGTTATGGGGGCACTCAGAAAGTGGAAGTAGCCAGGAGAGGAGCACTCATGTAGGCTCAATCCCAAGCGGCGCCATGTGTGTCCATTGATTGTTGAAATGTGTGTAAAAAAAAATAAAATTACCAAAAATCGTCTCTGGCAGTGAAAGGGTTAAACATACTTGAAAGAAACAGATCTCTATGCAGAAAAAGCAGTTAAAAAACCCCAAAAATGGAGAAAGGAAAAGAAAAAAAAAGGGGGGAGGCTTAAGGGACCACTTTTTTTCTGCCATCACTTTTCTATATGATTCTAAGTACAAGGTAGAGGACAGGGGCGGACTGACCATTTGGAAACTAGGGCACTGCCCGAGGGCCCGGGGTCAGTAGGGGGCCCCATGAGATGCCCCTGGTACCTTTTTCATAGGCTTTTTTGAGTTTGGGCAAGGACACAGGGGTCCCATGATCCCCTATTGCCCTAGGACCCCATGAGTTGTCAGTCCTCCCCTGGTAAAGGAGGTACATGCACCTGAGCAGAAAAAGTCGGGGGGCGCCATATCCGTAGCTACATACAAGTGCAGTGCATGGTCTATCTGAGCGCTGAGATTTCCGCACAGGAAGCGGCAAGGGTGGATCATCCCCCTAATCAGGGCTATTAGCCTTTTGTGAAGGGGTAATTCCACCAAGCCGCTGATAGATAATAAGGGAGCCTAGATTTCGCCTCTAATAACTGATAAGCAGCTGAAATGGAGCTCGGTATAATGCAGCTATTCAGATAGCAGAGAAATCCCATCAGCTCGAGAGCCTATTCCCAGCAACAAAGACAGAGCAGGCTTTAGTAACGGCAATTGGTCTTACTGCCAGTCAGGAGTCTATTACTCCGGTAATTAGCAGCTCGGAGCCCCTGTATGAAACTCGCAGTGACCGGACATAATGTGCCATGCTTTATGTAACTGGACCTCAGGGGGGGGGCATCGCTCCAGCTGGTGTGAAAAGTACAAGGGGTCCCTTGTTAAACGATTACGCCAACCAAACAGGCAGAATTCAAGAATTCATATAGATAAAGGGAATTTGTCTTTACCTGTGCCTGGGTTTCGTTTTTGCACACAAGCAACACCATTTTCTAGGACAGGAGTGGGCAACTGTGGCCCTCCAGCTGTTGGGGAACTACAAGTCCCATCATGCCTCTGCCTTTGGGAGTCATGCTTGTAACTATCAGTTTTGCAATGCCTCATGGGACTTGTAGTTCTATAACAGCTGGTTGCCCACCCCCGTTTAAAAGTGCTATTAAACCCAAACCCAAAAAAGTAATATGTTGCAGCTTAGCAACAGGGGCGCACTGACAACTCATGGGGCCCCCGGGCAATAGGGGATCATGGGGCCCTTGTGTCCTTGCCCAAACTCAAAAAAGCCTATGAAAAAGGTACCAGGGGCATCTCATGGGGGCCCCCTACTGACCCCGGGCCCTCGGGCAGTGGGAGTTTCCAAATGGTCAGTCCGCCCCTGCTTAGCAATCATTAGATGGGGTGGCTGCATTTATTTTCTTTTTTAGGATTTTTCCCCTCTCTTTTCACCTAGTGGTCTGGCCAGCAGCACCCCTTATGTATTAGAGAGCCCCGACTTTGAGTGAAGGAGCACAGGGGGCACATTTGGACAGCAGCATTGTCAGCCTGGGGGGAAGGGAGTGTAAAATGTACTAGCAGATTTAAATACACTAGCAAATACCTCCTGTATTGGAGTGCCCCCACTCTGGGGTGAAGGAGCATAGGGGGCACATTTGGACAGCAGCTTTGTCACTCTTGGGGGAGGAGAGTGTAAAATGTACTAGCAGATTTAAATACACTAACAAATACCTCCTGTATTAGAGTGCCCCACTTTGGGTGAAGAAGCACGGGAGACGCATTTAGACAGCAGCATTGTCAGTCTGGGGGGAGGTGAGTGTTAAATATACTAGCAGATGTCAATACACTAACAAATGCCTCCTGTATTAGAATGCCCCTACTCTGAGTGAAGGAGCACAAGGAGCACATTTGGACAGTAACATTGTCAGTCTAGGGGGATGCAGGGGCGGACTGACAACTCATGGGGCCCCCAGGCAATAGGGGATCACGGGGCCCGTGTCCTTGCCCAACTCAAAAAAGTCTATGAAAAAGGTACCAGGGGCATCTCATGGGGCCCCTTACTGACCCCGGGCCCTCGGACAGCGCAAGTTTCCAAATGGTCAGTCTGCCCCTGCTTAGCAATCATTAGATGGGGTGGCTGCATTTATTTTCTTTTTAGGCTTTTCCCCCTCTCTTTTCACCTAGTGGTCTCGCCAGCAACACCCCTTCTGTATTAGAGCACCCCCACTCAGTTTCCAAATAGTCAGTCCGCCCCTGGGGGGAGGTGAATGTTAAATGTACTAGCAGATTTAAATATACTAACACACTGAAGCCAAACTCCAGCTCACACTTTAGAAGCAGTTACAGCAACAGTTCCTTTTAGGATAAAGGTTTTACATAAATAAATACAAGCTGATCATTGTAAGCACCTCTTCCAGTGGCAAATGGTTTGTCCAAGCCCTTTAACTGCAAGAGAGCTTTCCTGTAATGAAAATAAAAAAAAAACACAACAGACTTACTGTCTGGATCACCAGATGAAAATAGAAGAAAGGAAGCCTAAAAATGAAAACTAATGCAGCCATTATGTAACGGAACCGGAACCCAGACTGCACTGAGTTTTTCCGTTATACCACAGCTTCCCCTGTCCGAACACCATCCACGGACCACACCCTCGAAATCCCTCAGGAAAAAGACAGCACCCAGCTCTTCTTAATACAGGAAGCCAACAACTCTTTATTTTAACACAAAACACAGGAAATATACAGAGGGCGGGGAAACACAACCAAGAACAGGAAATACATCATCACCCCTCCCCATCCCACCAAGACACAGAACATGTAGCACATGGCAAAGGACATTGACCAACCCCCACACCAATACACAAACAGTACATCCCGTAATAGTTGGCTGGACAGGAAGACACAGCACAATGGGGGGTAGCACATGGCAAACAAACAATGGACAACCATGTGGTCTAGACAAAGGAAAACACACAAATGCACAAGACTGGGACATTCACATGTACACCCTGTACCCTTAAACAGGCACAGAGTGGATTAAACATAATGATTTGGGGAGATGATACAGAGGTCCCCCCACCCCCAAAAGTCACTCCCGTCACACATTACATCTATGAATTGGTAAGCTGTGATATAATAAATGTTTTCTTTTGGGTTTATTACTGCTTTATTCTGTGTATTTAACTGTTTGAAGTTCTGCTTTGAATGAGTTCCAGGTGGAAGGTCATAAAGATAGTGAAGCTGGTGATTATTTAATATGGAGATCGGTGATCTCTATAAGATTTCTGTTCATGTCACATAAACAAGGAGCTGCAGAAAGAATTTCCCAGCCCACGCAGTTCTCCTATTGTAACAATGTATGTTTTCTATATAGTAGATTGTATCAAATGTCAAGGATGAAAGCAACACAGGAAAAAGTTTCTCGGGAGGCGGGGAAGCCGACACTAACAATATGCAGCTTATCATTTCCTTACTAATGTATGAGATGCCGGGGAAGCCGACGTATATAATCCAATAGAAGGCTCACAGATACCTCTTCACTGCATAATATGTGTTTAGATAACAGGGGCGGACTGAAAACTCATGGGGCCCCCGGGCAATAGGGGATCTTGGGGCCCCTGTGTCCTTGCCCAAAAAAAAAAACCTATGAAAAAGGTACCAGGGGCATCTCATGGGGCCCCCTACTGACCCTGGGCCCTCGGGCAGTGCCCGAGTTTCCAAATGGTCAGTCCGCCCCTGCATACGACAGTGCATTACTTTAACTGACAATTGCTCGGTCATGCAATACTGTACATAAATTAAATTTATGTCATTTTTTTATCCACAAAGAGATTTTTTTCAGGGTTTTTTAATTTTTTGCACTATAAAAAAAAAAGCCTACAATTTTGAAAAAATAATATATTTTGGACTTTTTGCTACAAAACATATCCAGTAAAAAAAACTTTAAATATCAAATTTCATCAGACATTTAGGTCAAAATGTATTCTGCAATGTCTTTGCTAATGTCTTTTCCAATATGTGTAAATTAAAAGGTAAAAGTGAAAGTTATAGCGTTTACAAATGGCGGTATACAGGGGCGGACTGACAACTCATGGGGCCCCTAGGCAATAGGGGATCATGGGGCCCCTGTGTCCTTGCCCAAACTCAAAAAAACCTATGAAAAAAGGTACCAGGGGCATCTCATGGGGCCCCCTACTGACCTCGGGCAGTGCCCGAGTTTCCAAATGGTCAGTCCACCCCTGGTCCATCCAGTTCAACCATAGCTAAAGGTAGACCAGTAGATAGATAAAGTCAGGGGCGGACTGACCATTCGAACACTCGGGCATTGCCCGAGGACCCGGGGTCAGTAGGGGGCCCCATGAGATGCCCCTGGTACCTTTCATTGACTTTTTCATAGGCTTTTTGGGTGTTGGTGAGGACACAGGGGCCCCACGATCCCCTATTGCCCGGGGGCCCCATGAGTTGTCAGTCCACCCCTGGATAAAAGTAGAAGAGTGATATGGCCATCCAGGGACAGGAAGTAAAAGAAGAAACTTGAAGAAAAAAAAAAAAAATGCAGCTACTCCACCATGAACTCATAAACTGCAATATATTACATTTTTGGTTTTAAAAAACCTATAAAAAAAAGGTACCAGGGGCATCTCATGGGGCCCTCTACTGACCCTGGGCCCTTGGGCAGTGCCCGAGCTTCCAAATGGTCAGTCCGCCCCTGGCGGTATATATACTGGAATTTTTATTTTTATTATAATAGTAATGGTGGCGATCAGCAACTTATTGCGGGACTGCGGCGGGCATTCTGACACTGGGAGGGGGGGGGCTGACTGTCACTAACATCCCCAGTGACACTAATACAGTGATCAGTGCTAATAAAAAAAACAGTCACTGTACTAATCACACTGGGCAGAAAGGGGTTAACATCTGGGGCGATCAAAGGGTTAACAGTGTGCTGTGTTGCGGTTTGCATAGTGTACTTTGTATGTTTTACTATGTAGACATGCTGCTTTGTATTGCTCTGCCTGACAAACTCAAGAAAAAAAAAATCTAAATGTCACACCCCTTTTCGGGATTGAATCCAGAGCCCCCCCAAAGCTCACACTGCTAACCACTTACCAACCTCTTTCTAAACAGCTAAACTATGTTCTTTGAAACTTCATGTAAGTGCCTCTTGAAGAGTCCTCACCCTCAGCAGTACATCTAGGATGTCTTTTTTAATTTTTGCCAGTAGGGTTTAAAATGGAAATTTTTCTTGTAAGACGTATAAAGGTTGCATTTCCATAAACCTTCCCATTGCTGCTTGCATTGCCCAACGTTGAGTGTCTGTGACAATGTGTGCAAGCATTATATGCTCATATATATAAAAGGTCATTTAATATCTCCTTGCTATGCAGATACAGCAACGCACTCCTCGTTCAGTGCATCCCTGTAGCGCCATGTGTTACTATACAGAATTCCCTAAGTCGTTAACCCCTTGTGTTGTAGAAGAGGTTCCATACAATCTATAGTTGTACAAGTCTTTATTTTAACGTAAAATCGAATTAACAAGGAAAACTGTCACATCACCTGTTACCCACCATGACTCCTATTCCCTGTTGGCTGCTAAGGCTCTTAAACTGCTTTGGAGGTTGATAGCCTCTGACTCCTGGGGTCAGTGTTGGTTGCACGTCAGGCACTTTGGCTTGTTGCTCCCATTCCCTGTTAGATGCCAAGACTCCTAATCTGCTTTGGGGTTTGGAAGCCTCTAACTTCTGGGGCCAGTGCTGGTTGCAGCACAGGTGCATCACCTTATGGCAACCTTGAGGCTCCCATTCCCTTTTAGCTGCCAAGACTCCTAATCTGCTCTGAACTCTGGAAGCCTCTAACTTCTGGGGCCAATGCTGGTTGCATCACGTTATGGCAACCTTGTGGCTCCCATTCCCTTTTAGCTACCATGACTCCAAATCTGCTCTGGAGTCTGGAAGCCTCTAACTTCTGGGGCCAGTGCTGGTTGCAGCACAGGTGCATCACCTTATGGCAACCTTGAGGCTCCCATTCCCTTTTAGCTGCCAAGACTCCTAATCTGCTTTGAACTCTGGAAGCCTCTAACTTCTGGGGCCAATGCTGGTTGCATCACGTTATGGCAACCTTGTGGCTCCCATGACTCCAAATCTGCTCTGGAGTCTGGAAGCCTCTAACTTCTGGGGCCAGTGCTGGTTGCAGTACAGGTGCATCACGTTATGGCAACCGTGTGGCTCCCATTCCCTTTAGATGCCAAGACTCCTAAACTGCTCTGAACTCTGGAAGCCTCTAACTTTTGGGGCCAGTGCTGGTTGCAGTACAGGTACATCACGTTATGGCAACCTTGTGGCTCCCATTCCCTTTTAGCTGCCAAGACGCCAAATCTGCTCTGGAGTCTGGAAGCCTCTAACTTCTGGGGCCAGTGCTGGTTGCAGCACAGGTGCATCACCTTATGGCAACCTTGTGGCTCTTATTCTCTGTTATTGCCCTAACTCTTGGGACCAATGCCCAATACAGAACAGATGCTTCACCTTGTGGCACCTTACAGCCAGTGGTGTATTTAGGTTTTGTGCTGCCCTAGGCAACACAGAAATTGGCACCCCCCCCCTCGCAGAGAGAGCCCGACATTGACCAAGGACACCCCTGCCCCCACCCAAGACAGCCTTCCACTACAACTGCCCCCCCATCGTCCATGGCGAGAGACAGAAAGACACTCACCTTCACAGCTCCGGCCATCCCCAGGAACAAGAGTCGGGCTGTGAGTACAATGTCATGAAACCCGCAGCCTCTTTTGCAGCCCACCAGGTCCCCATCTCCTGTGTGTCCTTTCTTCCATCCCTTCTTCTGAGGGGCAGTGCTGCCCCCCTCTGAAAAATGCCGCCCTAGGCAAATGCCTTGTTTGTCTTGTGGTAATACACCCCTGCTTACAGCTCCAATTCCATGTTAGCTGTTAATCTGCTGATAAAGTACATTTATTGTATTAATGCTTACTTGCATTCATTTGCCTCATTTCTATTATTATTCATGATTTATATAGCGCCAACAGTTTACAATATAAAGGGAGACACTACAGTTACAATACAAAAAAATACAGGAGGGTTAGGAGGGCCCTGCTCATAGGAGCTTGCAATCTAATAGGATGGGGCAAAAAAGGTTATCCTCCCAACGTGGGGTGGATAACCTGCCTAGAGCATAGCTTTAATCATCCATATCAGCATTTTCCTACTATTTTCTGTGAATGACATAGGGAGCCATTGTTCCATTTGTTTAGCGATCCACCGCTATCTATCTATATATATATATATATATATATATATATATATGTAAAATCCCCTGCCTGGAGCAGGAAGGCTAATGGGTTACCCTTTACATTTTTATGGCACATTCCTTTGAAATAAGCCCCAACAGTCTTCCCTGTGCTAACAATGAGGGAATGTGAGCCAATGACATTGAGATGCTCTCGGCATGTGTGCATAGCTATGCTGGGCTGAGAGGCTTGCTTGCCAATGCCAAAAAACAGAAAAAAAAAAAAGAAAAACATTGTTCTTTAGCGTGGGTATTAGGAAGCTGTCATCTTCGGTGGAAGTGATGCACAATAAAGCCTGCTTCATATGTATGGGCTGACTTCTCATTGTGCATTGCTCTGCATCTCATTCCTCTTCATTGTTTTCCCTCATTTACAAAAAGCAGCTCGATCGTTTCATAGTCCGGCCAGCGCAGTCACCTTCACAGGCTGACAGTGCGCTTCCGCCAGCGAGCTGCAGATTAGACCAGCCAAGCTCCTCTTGCATATAGAGGGAAGCGTTCACACCATGCAGATTTCAAACCATGAAAAGAGTGCCCAAACTACAAGTTTCTACTGGATTTGTTAAGGGAGTGAAGGGAACTGAAGTGATTCTAAAAGCTCATAAAAAAAAAAAAAAAATAACAAAAACATATTATACTTACTTGATTTGTGTAATAGTTTTGCACAGAGCAGCCCCAATCTTCTTCTTCTTGGATCCCCTGCAGGCACTCTTGGCTCTTCCCACTTGACCAGTGCCCCTAACAGCAAGCCACTCGCTATGGGGACACTAGTGCATTCTCACTCCTGAGTCCTGCTCTATGCATCCATAAGACTCAGAGCCACAGCTTGGCTCCTTCCCACGTTCTCTCCTCATTGGCTAACTGGCCATTTTCTCCCGCTGCTGTGTCTCAACCAATGAGGAGAGTGAGACCCAGGACAGCCAAGGATCCCATGCACGTCGCTGGATCTAGAGTGGGCTCAGGTGAGTGTTAAAGAGGCTGTGGGGGGAGAAGCACACAGAGGGTTTTTTACCTTCATGCATAGAATGCATGAAGGTATAAAGCCTTCAGCTTTTACAGCCACTTTAAAGTGTAACTATGGCCAGGGGCGGACTGACCATTTGGAAACTCAGGCACCGCCCAAGGGCCCAGAGTTAGTAGGGGGCCCCATGAGATGCCCCTGGTACCTTTTTCATAGGCTTTTTTGAGTTTGGGCAAGGACACAGGGGCCCCATGATCCCCTATTGCCCGGGTCCCCATGAGTTGTCAGTCCGCCTCTGACTATGGCTAGGGCATATTTTGCATTGCTCCTCACTGGGTGTTTGTTGCACATGGTGCAGCTTCTGAAACCAGCCTTCATATACCAACATGCAGGTAAGTGGAATGGGCTGTGGCTGTAGTCCAGATGCAGTAACAGAACTGTATTGTAAATAAAGTCCAAACAAACACAACTACCAGATGGGGAGACAACCCGACCGGGTGCACTCACTGGATGTTACAAAGAATAGGGTAACAAAAGACCTCAGATGCTCCGACAGCTTCTGTCTCGAGAGATAGAATGTTGCCTGGCCATTCTGTGCCAAAGCAGGGAAGCTTCCAGGAAGGATAGCATGTCCCTTCTCTTTCCCTACTTATCTGGAACCTCTCCCTACCGTTAATACTGTCCCTGTCAGATGGGTGACCTGTCTCTAGACTATGCACACGTGAAATGCTCACCAAGCCTGGGAATCAGGGTCTTAAAAAGACTCTGCTTGACCCAAGATGGCCACCAGAGTCACATGGGATGGCAGCATTCAATCGGATAGCTGCCCCGGTGACCCAGGAAACCACAAAGGAACCATGTTCCTCTTGACTTCCCTTCTAATTGCAATGCCACTGCAGTCAAGCACCACCCATAGTGAAGAAAGTAGACTGCACCTGCATACAAACATTTCCTCTTTCCGACCTTTCCAGTTTCTGGGGGGACTGGCAGAGGGATATACCTGGTATGGATGAAGAGGACTGGACAGATATCTCAAATGCACCATTTAAACAATTGGTCTCTGCCCAGGATAGCCTGGTCCAGTTTGAAATTCTCCAAAGTGAATACTTCACCCCTCGCAGCTCTGTCACATACCTGCTGGAAATGTGGCCACCCAAAAAGAGACTTTTTTCAAATTTTTTGGAAATGCTCACTCATAGCTATGCTCTTGACAGAGGTGGTGGACGTCATTAATGTAGTTGCCCAGACCCACCTTACCCTGGAAGCGAAATTGTGCCTACTGGACTTGGTAGAGAACATGGCTCCCAGAGTAGCTGTAAAAATGCTCTTTTGGCCTATTACTCTTTTATGTTAGGAAATCAACTAGAATGGTGAATGCAGCCACCCTAAGACAGGAGGTGTGTTACTGGCTGTTCAAATAAAGTAATAAATGCCGGAAAAAAAATAAACTAACGCAGCCCTCACATCCAATGATTGGTAAGCTGCAATGTATTGCATTTTTGGTTTTGGTTTTAGTTATGCTTTAAGGAGAACATCTGCCACAAGGGTACACCTGTTTCTGTAGCCTGTTTAGCACCCAGGTTAGCTTTATTTTGATTCAAATTCTTATGTCTCTTTTGCTTCTGCTGTTGTCCCACATTAAAGCTATAGTTTTTATTGCATAATTACATTGGTTAGTTTTTGGACCAATGTAAATATACACAGGGCTGGGGCAAGGGAATGAGCAGGCACTTGCCCTGGGCACAGTGGTGTGTA